CCAGTGTGAGCGACGCAGAAGACGGGAGATTTCTGCATTTCCAACTGAGGTACCAGGTCATAGGGACTGGTTGGATAGTGGGTGCAGCCCAGGAACTGTGAGCTGAAGCAGGGCGGGGCATCGCCTCACCCAGGAAGCGCAAGGGGTCAGGGAATTCCCTTTCCTAGCCAAGGTAAGCCATGACAAAGGTACCTGTAAAACTGGGACACTCCCACCCTAATACTGCGCTTTTCCAACAATCTTAGCAAACTGCACAACAGAAGGTTATATTATGCGCCTGGTTCAGCAGGTCCCACGCCCACGGAGCCTTGCTCACTGCTAGCACAGCAGTCCCAGATCCAACTGCAAGGCAGCAGCCAGGCTGGAGAAGGGGCATCCGCCATTGCTGAGGCTTGACTAGGTAAACAAAGTCGGGGGGAAGCTCCAACTGGATGGAGCCCTCCATAGCCCAATGAGGCCTGCCTGCCTCTGAAGACTCCACCTCTGGGGGCAGGGCATAGCTGAAAACCGGCAACAGAAACTTCTGCAGACTTAAATGTCCCAGTCTAACAGCTTTGAAGAGAGCAGTGGTTCTCCCAGTACGGAGTTTGAGATCTGAGAAGGGACAGATTGCCTCCTCAGGTGGGTCCCTGACCCCTGAATAGCCTAACTGGGAGACACCTCCCATTAGGGGCTGACTGACATCTCATACAGCCAGGTGGCCCTCTGACATGAAGCTTCCAGAGGAAGGATCAGGCAGCAACATTTCCTGTTCTGCAAAAATCCCCAACAAAATACTGGCAAACAGATTCCAACAGCACATCAAAAAGCTTATCCACCATGATCAAGTTGGTTTCATCCCTGGGATGCAAGGCTGCTTCCACATACTCAAATCAATAAACACAATACATAACATAAACAGAACCAAAGACAAAAGCCACATGATTATCTCAATGGATGCAGAAAAGGCCTTCAACAAAATTCAACAGCCCTTCATGCTAAAAACTCTCAATAAACTAGGTATTGATGGGACGTATCTCAAAATAATAAGAGCTATTTATGACAAACCCACAGCCAATATCATACTGAATGGACAAAAACTGGAAGCATTCCCTTTGAAAACTAGCACAACACAGGGATGCCCTCTCTCACCACTCCTATTCAACATAGTGTTGGAAGTTCTGGCCAGGGCAACCAGGCAGGAGAAAGAAATAGAGGGTATTCAGTTAGGAAAAGAGGAATTCAAATTGTCCCTGTTTGCAGATGACATGATTGTATATTTAGAAAACCCCATCATCTCAGCTCAAAATCTCCTTAAGCTGATAAACAACTTCAGCAAACTCTCAGGATACAAAATCAATGTGCAAAAATCACAAGCATTCCTATACATCAATAACAGATAAACACAGAGCCAAATAATGAGTGAACTCCCATTCACAATTGCTTCAAAGAGAATAAAATACCTAGGAATCCAACTTACAAGGGATGTGAAGGACCTCTTCAAGGAAAACTACAAACCACTGTTCAATGAAAAAAAAGAGGACACAAACAAATGGAAGAACATTCCATGCTCATGGATAGGAAGAATCAATGTCATGAAAATGGCCATACTGCCCAAGGTAAATTATAGATTCAATGCCATCCCCATCAAGCTACCAATGACTTTCTTTACAGAATTGGAAAAAAAATACTTTAAAGTTCATATGGAACCAAAAAAGGGCCCACGTTGTCAAGACAATCCTAAGCCAAAACAACAAAGCTGGAGGAATCATGCTACATGACTTCAAACTATACTACAAGGCTACAGTAACCAAAACAGCATGGTACTGGTACCAAAACAGAGATACCGACCAATGGAACAGAACAGAGCCCTCAGAAATAATACCATACATCTACAACCATCTGATCTTTGACAAACCTGACAAAAACAAGAAATGGGGAAAGGATTCCCTATTTAATAAATGGTGCTGGGAAAACTGGCTAGCCATATGTAGAAAGCTGAAACTGCATCCTTTCCTTACACCTTATACAAAAATTAATTAACAATGGATTAAAGACTTGAATGTTAGACCTAATACCATAAAAATCCTAGAAGAAAACCTAGGCAATACCATTTAGGACATAGGCATGGGCAAGGACTTCATCACTAAAACACCAAAAGCAATGGCAACAAAAGCCAAAATAGACAAATGGGATCTAATTAAACTAAAGAGCACAGCACAGGAAACTACCTGTGTTTCCTGCACAGCAAAGGAAACTACCATCAGAGTGAACAGGCAACCTACAGAAGGGGAGAAAAGTTTTGCAATCTACCCATCTGACAAAGGGCTAATATCCAGAATCTACAAAGAGCTTAAACAAATTGACAAGAAAAAATCGAACAACCCCATCAAAAACTGGGCAAAGGATGTGAACAGACACTTCTCAAAAGAAGACATTTATGCATCCAATAGACACATGAAAAAATGCTCATCATCACTCGCCATCAGAGAAAGGCAAATCAAAACAACAATGAGATACCATCTCATACCAGTTAGAATGGCGATCATTAAAAAGTCAGGAAACAACAAGTACTGGAGAGGATGTGGAGAAATAGGAACACTTTTACACTGTTAGTGGGAGTGTAAGCTAGTTCAACCATTGTGGAAGACAGTGTGGTGATTCCTCAAGGATCTAGAACTAGAAATACCATTTGACCCAGTCATCCCATTACTGGGTATATACCCAAAGGATTATAAATCATGCTACTATAAAGACACATGCACACATATGTTTACTGCGGCACTATTCACAATAGCAAATACTTGGAACCAACCCAAATGTCCATCAATGATAGAATGGATTAAAAAATTGTGGCACATATATACCACGGAATACTATGCAGCCATAAAAAAGGATGAGATCATGTCCTTAGTAGGGACATGGATAAAGCTGAAAACCATCATTCTGAGCAAACTACCGCAAGGACAGAAAACCAAACACCACATGTTCTCACTTATAGGTGGGAATTGAACAATAAGAACACTTGGACATAGGGTGAACATCACACACCAAGGCCTGTCATGGGATGGGGGAGCAGGGAGGGATAGCATTAGGAGAAATAGCTAATGTAAATGGCAAGTTAATGGGTGCAGCACACCAACATGGCACATGTATACGTACGTAACACACCTGCATGTTGTGCACATGTACCCTAGAACTTAAAGTATAAAAAAGAAAAAAAAAAAAAAAGGAATGCCCTTTGCAAAAAGACATGAGGAGATTTTCTGGGGTGATGGAAACATCATGTATCATGATTACAGAGGTTACACGAGTGTGTGTTTATGTGGTGTGTGTATATACATATATATACACACACTCATGTAACCTCTATAATCAAGATACATATATATATATGTATATATACACACCCACATACTAACAAAACATCATACTGTACAATTAACATGAGTTCATTTATATCTCAATAAAGTTAGGATTATGTACAAATTTTGCACATTGGCTAGAAAGTGATTAAGACTGAATTATATTTAAAGTGTAAATAAATCTTACACAGTGATACATCATTATATTTTTAAGAAAAAGAAAAATCTGTAAAGTCAACCCCATAGGAATCCTGACTAAAATCCCTTTCATATAGTACACATTATCTTTTGGCCACTTCTATATTTTCCTGCTTCTAGTTTGTATTTCCGAACTAAACGACTGGGTCTTTGCCTTGTATTCTATATAAAATCTGAGTCCAGTTCCTGTTGTTCTGCCTCATTCAGACCATATTTCCCCTCAAGATTGGACCTTTACTCCATTCTCCTACTCTGTAACTGGATTCGTACCATCCATGTACAGAACCTCCATCTGGCTTACCTGATTACCAGTTATCCAAATTTTCTGTCTTTAGGGCTCTGTCATCTCCAGTGGACTTGCTGTTATTGACTGATGCCTTAAGCCTCAGCTTGTTATGCCCTTTTTAATTCTAACTAAATTATGCATTTGTTCCTCTAGAGACCATTCCCCTTATTACTGTTCTTAATAGATGTTGGCTGCCACCTGAAGGATATCTGGAAACAGTACTCGCTCCCCAAGATTCTGATATGGCACCATGGGGAAGGGCTTGCCTCTTCAACTCCAGCTGAGTATCACTAGTGAGCCTGTTACTATTACTGATAGATATTGCTTAGGTATGATAATCTGGAGAAAAAGTTAAAAACTAGTATTACCTTAGCTCTTACCCTATACCCCACCCTAGAGATTCATGTTGCCACAAGTGGCTCTGCACGCCTAAGCCAGACTTTCATAGTTTTATACTCATCCTCAAACTCTCAAGTTTTGGTGAATCCATGGAAAGGTTTTAATACCTAATAAAAATTACAGGAAGGAAAATCTCCATCACCACCACCGACCTTCTCTAGAGAATAGAAAAAACTTACTATTTTTATAAACCAGGAATAAGAAAAATAACTTACTATTTTTATAGGTCAATGTGTACAATCATTAATCTTATTTTAACACCTACTGTCCAACATCACTACATACCATAATAACGATTTTTCAAAACAGAAATGCACTGTGAATCAAACACTATGAAATAACCCAAGTTTTAAAAACATAACTACTTTGTGTTAATATAATGATGCAGGTATCCCAGACCACAGCTTGGTAACCCATATCCTGAAAATATCTAGCAGCAAACAGTTTTGCAGGATGTCATCTTCATAATGCTGCCTCAGACCAGAGTGACAGTTTATCAAAGAGAATTAACCTTAACTTCTGTCCACTCTGAAAAGAATGAAATGTGTGGCAAAACATTAACAGTCATGTCTTGATTTTACTATAAATTTTCTATAATTACAATATACTAGGAAATAACAGTGCATGCTTAAAGAATCTGATATTTAAAGGATCTGATGTTTAAATTATTTAATAACATTTTAAAGGCTAGTTGACAGTAAAAATGTGAAATTTGAATAATACCAAAAAGTGGCAATAATTTAACACCTAAAAACATAGAGAAATATTCTTACCTGTTTTATTCCATAGTAGTCAGCAATACTGCTGATCAGCTCTGACATTGCCTGAACTTCATGAGATTTCTTCATATTCATAAACTCAACTGCCTTCTGAGTTTCACCTAATAAAAATAAAGTAAAATATTGCTATTAAAGAATCAAAATTTAGTAGGAATTATCAGTTGATGTTCATATTTTTTGAAATGAAGTAGGAAAATAATATGGAGATTCTACTGTGGTTTCTGAATAGATCTCTACTAGCTTAGCCACTATAAATAAAATTTAAATTAATAAATGCAAAAATCCATAGAACATTAAAACTATTCCTTAACAATTAACTACAATGGAAAAGACTGGTAAAGTGGACTACGAAAGAAATTTTTCATCAAAAGACAACATTATGAGGTAAAAAGGCAAGCCCCAAATGAAAGAAGATAATTCCAACACATATATCTACAGAGAATTTGTATCTAAGAATAAAATAAAACAAACTCCTACAAATCAATATGAAAAGAATCACCCAATAGAAAAGTGGGGGAAAAAACTTAAACAGTCATTTCATTACTTGTGCTGTCTAATACAGTAGCTGCTAACCACATGTGATTATTGCAATTTATACTGAAATCAAATATAATTGAAAAATTAAGATTCTGTGCTGCACTAGCCAAAGGTGAAGTTCTCAACAGCCACATGTGGCTAGTTTCCACAGTACTGAGCAGTAAAAGCACAGGACATTCCCATCACTGCAGAACTATAGGACTGTACGAATATACACTGTCTGCTACACATTATAAAGTACATTAAAACGGCCAAAGAACATATGACAAGGTAGTCAACATTGTCAGTCACGTGGGAGTTGGGTGGTGGGAAACTGAAATGTAGGGTTGGAATGGTTATTATGGCATGACAGTGTTCACATTTGTGAATGCCTTGGTACAGGCTTAACCTGGGATTACCACATTGGGATACTGGGTTTTAATGAGGTCTTTCCAGGTATAAGTGCTGGTTACTCATGGTACTGTAGATGGAAGGTAGCACCTTCTTGGTAACATTCTGAGGGCACTTTAGGACACGGTCTCTATCAGAGAGGTCTGAATTCCACAATGTCATTCTGCTGGCAGATACTAACCTAGTAAAGAAATATGCTGATTACTCCAGGATGGGGAATATAGCCCCGCCACTCTCACCTATCACCAGCATGCATCTCTCTACATGGCTAAGTCAACTGTTTCTTGTACCAGACACAACAGAGTCCATCGAGACCCTGAATGGTGGTTTTGCTATTTGTTCTTGCCTACGATACAGTATCTTTACTCACTTTGATGCCAACCTGTGGCCCTTCAACTTTATGAATTGGGGGAGGGGCCAAGGATGATACCCTTGATGCAGAGGTACACTCATTTATTGCCAGTCAGCAGCACCTGGGATAGGGTGTTCTCCTTAGAGTATTCATTATCAGTTGACTACAGCCCCCATAGTAATATTGCTGGTGAACCCATCTGCAGCTATAATGGTTCCTACCAAGAGCCATAATTCACCAAACAGCCCCTCTCTTTCTCCAGGGGGAACATTATGAAATGATTTTGCTTAAATTGGTGAGAGAGATTAAAAAATGAAAATAATAATAAAAGAATTGGACTCAAAGATAAAAGAGTCCTTTTACAATGGAGAACTCCAGTAGACCCACCTTTACCAAGTGAGTAAACTTAGTGTTACCAATAAAGGGACAAAATTATATGTGCTTCCTAATTTGATACGTACAAAAGGAATCACCTAGGCCGGGCGCGGTGGCTCAAGCCTGTAATCCCAGCACTTTGGGAGGCTGAGACGGGCGGATCATGAGGTCAGGAGATCGAGACCATCCTGGCGAACACGGTGAAACCCCGTCTCTACTAAAAAATACAAAAAACTAGCCGGGCGAGGTGGCGGGCGCCTGTAGTCCCAGCTACTCGGGAGGCTGAGGCAGGAGAATGGCGTGAACCCGGGAGGCGGAGCTTGCAGTGAGCTGAGATCCGGCCACTGCACTCCAGCCTGGGCGACAGAGCCAGACTTCGTCTCAAAAAAAAAAAGGAATCACCTAAGTAGTACTCCTATCGAAAATGTATAACCTGAATCTAATCATGGGGAAACAATAAAATAACCTGCCTATAGATATCAAAAGTATCAGGGTCAGGAAAAACAAATGCAAAGGTAAGAAACTATTTAAGATTGAAGAGACGAAACAGACATAACAACTAAATGTCAGATATGAGCCTAGACTAATTCCTGTATGAAGAAAAAAAAATGGCTCTAAAAGATATTCTTGGAAAAAGTAAAGAAACTTGAATAGAGACTGCTTATTAGACAATATTACTGTATCAGCGTTAAACTCCTGAGTGTGCCAATAAACTATGGGATGTGTAGGAAAATGTCCTTGATATTTTGAGATACAGAGTGAAGCATTTGAGAGTGAAGTGCTACAATATCTACAACTTACGTTCAACAGATTCAGAAAAAGGAGTGTGCGTGTGAGTGTGTGTGTGTGTGTGTAGAAGAGAACTACAACAAATGTGGCAAAATGTGAACACATGGTGAATCTAGGTGAAAAGCATACAGGGCCTATTGTACTATTCTTGTAACTTTTCTGTAGGTTTGGAGGTTTTCAAAATAAAAAGGTGGGGAAACAATGAGGATCAAATAAGAGATATGAAAGAGGTTTATGTAAGATAAAAGAATCTGAGAATTTTTTTTAACCACAGCCTTCTGATCTCTGCCTTTTAGTTGGCATGTAGAATCAATTACATTGAATATAATTATTGATAAAGCTAAGTTTTAATCTACTATATTACCATATTTTTTTTAAAATTTGTACCATCCCCACTTTCTGACACTCACGCTTCTCCCCACATCCCCAAATATCCCCTTCCACTCTTCCCACCCTCTTCCCATAGAGAACATTAGCCTGTGGCAACAAAAATGATGTAGATTTTAGAAATTGTAGTAGCTCACTGTGATCTGTGTTTGAGGGGCAGGAACTATCTGAAGTAAAGGTTACAAGAATTAATGTAGAAAAAAATTGTGGAGATCTATAAGTTGTTCTGTTTAATATAGTACAAGGGAAAACCTACTCTTCTAAACAAAAGCTAATTTGTCAGGGCTTATATGTTAAGGTCTAACAATAAATTAATAATATTTTGGAAAGATACACATATATGAACAAAATATTGCTTCTAAGTACCTAAAAAGCACATATACACACACATAAATAGACATACCAATTCTCTGGTTTTGATTTCCTCGAAGGGCTACAAGCAACTGTTCAAAAGGAGTACATATTCCCAAGTTTTGTATGGAATAGTATTTCGCAGCCAGAGCAAAGGCTTCCACACTCACCAACTTCTGAGAAGTTTCACAGAATATTTTGGGAAAATCAGTCACACCTAAAAAAGTGAAGATAGAAAAAGTCTTCAGCAATAATTAATGGTTAATTTGTGTGATACTAATAAACAAATGAACACTTAATTTTTATAACAAATTCCAATATTTACATTTTGTTGTGAATTTTGGCAATATATCTAATCCATTTATAGTTACTATTTAAATGATTAGCTATAAGGAACACCCAGTTTTCTCTTAACATTTTATGCAATTAAAAATTTAAACTCCAAATTACAATCTGGCCTTTTTTTATGGAAAGAAAGAGACAGAGGCAGAGAGAGAGAGAGAAGGGAGGAAGGGAGGAAGGGAGGGAAAAAGGGAGGGAGGGAGGGAAGGAGGGAGGGATGAAGGAAGGAAGGAAGGAAGGAAGGAAGGAAGGAAGGAAGGAAGGAAGGAAGGAAGGAAGG